AATCTTTGACATATTTCCCTGAGGTATAGAACCGATAAGTTTGAGCAATTTGACATTTCATTAAACACAGGGAGAGCCATGGAGTTTAAAGTTCCACCCACCGATCAGATGAAGGAGAACCTGCTTTTAACGGCAGGAGTAATAAACCAGCTGATATCACAGAACGACAAATAAGGAAAACAACAAACTACTGCAGCTTTTTAAAGTCTAACAATCAGAGAGGCTTGGAAGTAATAAACACTAAAACTAAATCTGTAAATCATGGCCTGATTATATCTTTATTCATTATTCTAAGACGTTTCTTGGCAACCCAAATATGAAATACTTTTTTTAAAACCCTCTGAGGTCCATAGAGAGAAATCTAGAAACAGATCTACCAGCAGCGATCTAGAAAATGTCCACATAGATCCGCTCTCAGCTTGGATCAGAACGGAGAGCTTCTAACCAGAAATCTACCAGAACTCCAGTTTATACAGAAAACTTCAGACTTCCTGATCAGTTACTTTATGCAAAACAATGAAGAAACACGATCCAACAGAAAGGTTCAGATTTAAAGCAGCTGCTGCATTTCTGGAAGTTATGCAGACTGATGGGGGGGGGTCTGCTGTACTATCTGCTGTAGTATTTGCTGTAGTACCTTCTGTAGTATCTGCTGTAGTACCTTCTGTAGTATCTGCTGTAGTACCTTCTGTAGTATCTGCTGTAGTACCTTCTGTAGTATCTGCTGTAGTACCTTCTGTAGTACCTGCTGTAGTAGATTCTGTAATAGTTTCTGTAGTACCTGCTGTAGTAGTTTCTGTAGTACCTTCTGAAGTATCTGCTGTAGTATCTGCTGTAGTAGTTTATGTAGTACCATCTGTAGTACCTGCTTTAGTACCTTCTGTAGTACCTTCTGTAGTAGTTTCTGTAGTACCTTCTGTAGTACCTGCTGTAGTAGATTCTGTAATAGTTTCTGTAGTATCTGCTGTAGTAGTTTCTGTAGTACCTTCTGAAGTATCTGCTGTAGTATCTGCTGTAGTACCTTCTGTAGTAGTTTCTGTAGTACCTTCTGTAGTAGTTTCTGTAGTACCTGCTTTAGTACCTGCTGTAGTACCTTCTGTAGTAGTTTATGTAGTACCTTCTGTAGTATCTGCTGTAGTACCTTCTGTAGTACCTTCTGTAGTATCTGCTGTAGTATCTGCTGTAGTAGTTTCTATAGTACCTTCTGTAGTATCTGCTGTAGTATCTTCTGTAGTACCTTCTGTAGTATCTGCTGTAGTATCTGCTGTAGTATCTTCTGTAGTACCTTCTGTAGTACCTTCTGTAGTATCTGCTGTAGTATCTGCTGTAGTATCTTCTGTAGTACCTTCTGTAGTACCTTCTGTAGTATCTGCTGTAGTATCTGC